AGTCAAGTTTTGCATTCAAGGCTTTTAAGAGAAAAACCACTGATGGGACAGGGCAAGCTGGAACAGTTTGTATCTCACTCTGCTCAGACGACGGCTTGTCTCGTGGTTCTGAGGCCGCGTCAGCCCAGCGCTGCTCCGCTGCGTGCCTGCGAGTTTCACCGGTTTCAGATTCGGACCAACGATGACTTCCTGGCACATGAGCCAAAGTAAGAGTCTGCTGGCCACCGGCACCACAAACTCAACGTGGGATATGGAAATCCAGCTGTGCTCTGCCATCAGCGACTCAACAGTTTCCGATTTTGTCTCACTACTCCATGGATGATACATACGGCAGACTTGACTCCAGCTGGCCCTATTGTATTGGATCTACAGTGACAGACAACAGGAGCCAGAAACTTTTTGTTCAAGTAGAGCCAGCAGATGTGACACTGAATAAACACAGACAGTCAATCTGCTGAGTAAGAAGGTATCGTTCATATAAATAACATACATCTAATCCTGCTTCCATTTTAAACCCAAATATGGGAATGCAAGATGCTCAGCGCTCTGCAGATTTATGCTTTGAACAATGAGATAAAGCAAAAGCAGATAACACACAGCCCCTCTGAGCTCAGTTTAATGCTTATTTCACTTTTGCTTTAAATTATTATCAGGCCCACAGCTTTCTCCATGAAGAGCTTCCCACAGAGCGTTAACAGTCTGTCCAGGCTAACGTCAGATGGGATGTTGGCCCTATGAAAATATCTGCTGGACCCTACTGCTTCTCCCAATGGACCTTAATTACAGAGCAATTTAAAGTATTATTCCAATCATTTTGACCTCACACATTTCGAGAATAGGCATTACACCCACTGAGGGGTTTCTCATGGTCTCAGCAACAGGACTTGTCGGGCTTGACCTCTGAAATGACACATTTCCCACTTATTGGACAAGTTTGCAAATTTGTAGCTGCCAAAAAATTATTTCATTAGAAAGCCGGTAATGATATGAATTAGCACGCAAGAAAACCTCCTCTTTAGAGGTTACATGCAATATTGACACGAGGTCGGTGCCTTGTTTCAGTATCATATGCACTCAGAAAGGAAGTAAAATTGGTAGGCAGGTTTGATACAGATAATTATTCTACCAGAGCCCACTAAAGATAAAACTGGAGCAAGTGGCTTCCAACTGCCCCTGGCACGTGCCTCGCACAAGCACTCACTTCCTTTTTGAGATTTTAGACTGCAAAGTATGGCTCAACATAACCCAGTACTCCGCAGCCATCCCTTGAGGATTAATGCTTAAGAACCTCTAAAAGACAAGGAAGTTTTTAATTGTGTTAAGAATTTGCTTTGTTAAAAAAGAAATAAGTCAGAGAGGACTGTCACTGAGACTAATTATACTTGATATTCACTGTGCTTGGTTCCTCTACTCAGAAGGATCACTTCATCCTTCCCCAAAACGGCCACCAGCAGGATTCAATAATGTAACACACAGCAGTTTTAAAAAGGATGTAGAAAAAAAAAATATTATTACATTTCCAGGCATTTTCCATGGGGTTAACCTCCATTCTCATTAGAGACTCATTTATCTACGTTTTTTTCATTTGCTAGTGAGCTCCTCCAAGACAAACAGCAATTTATTTGTTCTCTGAGAACCCTGGGCCTGAAAGATGCAGCCATCTGTCAGCGGGAAGGAGCTCTCCATAAACGGCTGCTTTCTCATCAAACCCTTTCTAGATTTTAATTTGCCACCTAAATTATCAAAGGAAACCAAACAGCTTTTAGTTATACATATATGCACACAAAGTATTTTAAAGCATAAGATGAGATATACAGAGCACAGCAATCAAAGCAGCTTTTGTGCTCTGGGAAGTGCTTCCCGTGACCTCAGGTGTTCACGTCTATTCCGCCAGGAGACTTCTCCAGGGAAAGACAAGTAGACTTAAGAGAAGTAGAATTCATGAAATAGTTGTAGACTTCACAATATGTGCTGCAGAAGTTCTGTTGAAGCATCACTAGCATATAATAATATATAATTCAAACTGCCAAAGAAAACGGACGGAGGGTATTTCCTTCCTTGGAAAGCCACCAAGCCATTCTTGAAGACCATGAAGTTCAGATCTATGCTTATTAGACCCCAGAGAAGGCCACCAAACCCCCCTCATTCACTGAGGTTCAGTTTGGGGTCCAGAATTGCTTGAGGCACTCAGATCTTGACAGCTGTCTCTAGGATAAAAATGGGCCACTCAGATTTTGCTCTTTTTGTCCCCCCTAGGTGTTTCCTTAGAAGAACCTCGTCAAAACGTGTCTAGAAAAAAATAAGTTACACCATCTAACTACTCTGTACACCCAACCTTACCAAGCTCTTTAAAAGCTTCTAACAATTTGAAAAGGTGACAACAATGGGCGGGTAGAAAAGCACGAGGCTGAGCCAAAGGAGAGATCACCTCAAAGTTCAGAGCAGGTACCCAACTCACAGACAGCTGACCCAAGAGTCTGGACACCCTCTACACTCAGCGGAGCATGACGAGCAAGATAACTGCCCTCAAAGGGCAGAAGAGATACAGCCCTTAAAATGGGTATTTTAGATCCTGAAAAGCTCACTTTTCTCCTCCTTTGTGAATTTCTTACTTTTTCATTCTGGAACCAGAACTGCTTGTTGCTGGAGATAACAAAATGGGCAGGAAAAAAATTACAGGTTTTGGGTACACAGTGAAACCAGACTGAGTTAGGGCACTCAATTTAAATTGTTTCATTACACTGCCATAACGAAAGGGTGAAAGTGCTTACCCTATCCCAAATGTGAACACAGTGCTGCCTTCTTAAACCTCTTCTGTAGCTGCAAAAAGTCTAACTCAATCAAATTCACTCGTATCCCCAACTTTGGTGATACACAAGAAGTAGGTTTGAGATTTTTGTCTTATTTCTATATTGATGTTATTGCCAAAACCAAGCTTAGTCCTGCACTGTGGGTTACCCAGATTAAAAAAAAAAAAAAACAACAAACTGCATACATACACATGCTATAGCTTAGATGAAGATTGGAGAAAAGTGAGGAGTATTATTAGAACATGGAAACATTCCCCAAAGATGATAAATTTTCACTACAGACTGGATGGATTATCTCCACCCAACAGAATTCTCTGAAAAAAAGGAAAACAAGCTAAGGTGTAACGAAATGCACCGAAAAGATGAGCAGAATCACCTCCTTCTGTCCGAGCAGAAGAACCCCTGTCCAAGTGATCTCAACTCAGGACCTTCTGGTGCAGCCCCCTGGAGCCCAGGGCCCGTGTTCATCCTCAGATACCCTCAGCACATCCTGGCCCCGACATCACGCCCCCGAGCAGGAGGCTGGAAAGCACACACTCATGGAAACCTACCAAATACCAACTCCACAAAGCTTTCTAGTGCAAACTGGTGAAAATGGTGAGAGAGGGGTGTTTCAATGTTTGTCTGGATCCATTTCTGAGTCTCTTTCCTCACCGTCTTTAAGTGTTCTATTAGTATTCTTAGAGCATGACAAAAATGGCCAAAGACAGTCTCCATTCTCCAACACCCCATTCCCTTTTGCATGTGAGGTATCCTCTCCTCCCCTCCAAAAATCAATAGGCAGTGAAAGCTCTCTGCACTATTTAGGAATTTCAGAATCAAAATTATGAAAAGAGAGAGAGAGAGCGCTCACAAAGTACATACAACAGCCTCTGCATCATCAGGAACTCACATCGGAGGACTCCCCACGCTGTCAAACACAACCCTTCAATACACACTACGTTGCACTTAACTAAATCTCAAGGTAACAGCAGCACCCAGTTTTTAACAGGGAGTATTGGTTTTATTCTGGCATAGGTGTTTACATCCTCTTTAAAGAGTAGCTCTAAGTGTCTGCAAAGCGCAGTGCATCCATCTAATATCGTGATTTTCCTTCCCCTTTATCATGACATGATGACAACTCTTTGGAATTGCCACGTTCTTTTGCTAGCAGGTTACCTCCCCAGCCTGAGCTCCACAGCACGGTTTTTGAAAATTAATCTCAGGCTTGATCTGAACCTGTGCATTCACAACAGAAAGTATAATCTTCGATCTGACAGTGGAAGAACAGCTGCTTTATTGTCTGCAGGTCTCTTGGGCACCCATATAAAAGGTATCAAAATGAACCACACCATACATCTTAACTTTATGTTTTGGAAAAAAGCTGGCTGATTTAGGAAAAAGAGATTATTTTAAATTGCATCAGGTCTTTTTTCCCACCACTACTACAGTGTGTACAAAACTGGACTCAGTTCACCGCTAGCTACAACGAGCAGTTCAGCACCCTGTGTTTTGAGAATTGCTTGCACATATATTTTTCATCTTACACTATACTGGGAAAAAAAAAAAAAAGAAAATAAAAAGTAAAAAGCAGCTGCCCTCACTGAAAGCAAAATCCTAAGTTTTCTGCCAACAGGCAGAATTTAAGATCACCAGTAGAAATATTTCTTCTAAAGGATTCCCCACACCTATTTTATGAAAGCAGAGAAATGCAGTCATGCTGGACAACACTAAATGAAACATAAATGGACCAGAAACCCAGACATCTGCTACAAACGGGGTAATACCCATAGAAAAACTGCAACACTTTGCTCAGAAAAGGTCTTCTCGAGTGTAGCCACTGAAAAATTACAGTGTGAACCCACCCAGCTCCCTTCCTCCAAGAGAATGAATTTGGTCTCTCATCTACTCACCTGCATTTTTTTTCCCCATGAAGACTTGTAGGAATTTTCCCTGACTGAAACCAGTTCAGGGTCTCACCAGTTACTAGAGGAAGATGGGAGACTGACAGGTGTGGATTCACTGATGTCTAATAAAAGAGAATTTCTGCTAGGCATTTAACAGAGCTCAGTTGGGCAATCAATCAACTGTGAGACACAAATCCACTGGAAACCTGACTTCATTACTTCTGCTGTTCACAGAAAAACTTGTTTTTCATCTAAACCTGTCTAATAAACAGTACTTTCAGAAAACAAGGCGCATATACATTACCTCAGTAACAAAGAGAGTGCGTGGATCGATGATGTCCAAGAAGTGCCTGAACCTGCCATAAAATGAAGTCTGGAAGACAAGAAGAAAAAAAAACAAACAACAAAATGTGTTCAGTTAGAAATTGCCTTTCACCTGCTGCAGAGAAAGGTTTTATTTCCCCTGTAGAACTAAGTAGCAACTAAAATGAAGTAATACAGAAGCTATTTGCTGGTAACTTGTTATAGGAAGTCTGAAGGAAAAGATGAGGATTTGGACCCTGCTAACAGCAGTGTTGCTCTTAACAGGACACTAATACAGATGCTTTAATAAAAGGGTAGTATCAAGCAGCTAAAATATCCTTTACTTTTTCCCCAAAAATAAAATATTGCCTGCTTTGCTACCAGATTCCTGAGAGATGTCCGAGGTCACAAAACCCCAACGTGCAGCTCCAGACCCCCACACCGAGCAATGCTGCGGCAGCAGTTCCCACCCTGCAGTGTCTTTATCGCCATCCCTGCGCTGCTCAGCCTCACACCCCCCTGGTACCCATCCCGCAGGGCCAGCAGCACCACGGGGTCCCCAATTTTAGGGAGAAACTAGTGCAAAGAAACTCCTCCACTGCTGGAAAAAAAAAAAAAGTATGTGAAATTGTATTTTCAAAGGCTCCAAGAAGAGTTAAATGTCTCAGCATGGGAACAAGTAGTTTTTTCTTTAATGGAAAGAATGAGAAAGATGAGACCAAGCACAAACCCGGTTTTATGTCTTACATTTATTGCAGAATTTTCCAAGCACTAAACTAGGGCTGGCATTCATCGTGCCATCCCCTACACAAACACACAGCATAAACCTGACTGTGAACCTTAATGTATGTAAAAGAAACCATAACTTTATGGATTGTTCTTAGTGGCACATTTAGAAAAATCCCAGAATCATCCTGATTGGAAAAGCCCTCGCAGCTCCTCCATCCCCACCATGAGCCTCCCCCTGACCGTTCCCAACTCCCCCAGATCCCTCAGCGCTGGCTCAGCCCGACTCTTCAACCCCTCCAGGGATCCCGGGGACTCCCCCCTGCCCTGGGCAGCCCATTCCAACGCCCAACAGCCCCTTCTGCACAGAAATCCTTCCTCAGAGCCAGCCTGACCCTGCCCTGGGCAGCTTGAGGCCATTCCCTCGGGGCCTGGCGCTGGGGCCTTGGCTCCAGAGACTCATCCCCCCTCTCTGCCCCCTCCTGGCAGGGAGTTGCCGAGGGCCAGGAGGTCTCCCCTCAGCCTCCTCTTCTCCAGACTGAACCCCCCCAGTTCCCTAAATCTAGATATGCCTGTGATAGGGATAACGCTGTGCAAAAGCTGGTGAAGATGCTTTTGTTGGGAGCAGCAAATGTGTCTGAAGGACCACAAGGGGATCCAGAGAACAGGGAACAAAGTCTGAAAGAAGGGGGAGATATCCAACTTGGTTTACAAGTTGAAAAGATCACAGGCAGTTCCAAAAGAAAGGAGAGCAGTTCTGACTCAGAATTTAGAGAAGAAAGACCAAAAAAAAAAAAATTAACTTAGGCAAGCCCAAAGCACCGGACCATGAAATACTGAGATGTTAAGGGCACTCAGGACACATGTACACCATCACTCAAACATCAGTCTGGATTCTTTCATCCGGACGCAGACGTAGGCTGGGTGCCAGCGCTGCCTCAGCACAGCCTAAACTCTCATCTGGACACGGGCAAGGCCAAACGGGCGTGGGGCAGCCCGGTCTAGCGGCTGCTCTCTCTCCCGTGGCTTCTCCCCAGCAGAATCTGCAGCCCATCACAGATGCAGAAAGGACACAGGTCACAGATCCCCACGTGCTCTTGAACATTGGGACCCCTTTGCCCTGGGTGCTCTCCAGCCACGTGCAGGCAAACCTCTTTTTGAGTCTGTAACGCAGAAACACACTATAAATAAGAGCGGAATATGGATACAGCAGTGAGAATGGCATTTAATCACAGCCTGGCATCATTTTATGAAACATGCTGGTTCTTCTCTGCTGAATCCATCGAGCACAGAGAAATATCAGTAATACTGCCTACTTATTCAGGCAGAAATCCCTCTCTCGTGGCAGTTTCCAGCATCGCTGCCGTCCACCACCCCGCGTTGCAACACCCCGTTCTCAGCTGCTTACTAAACTCTCTGCTGTTATTTTTCCATGTTCTGCACTAAAAAAAGAAAAACCCGCAACTAAACAAAATAGCTTCACATAACTTCAGACAGAAAAAAAAAAAAAAAAGCAGCCCAGTGGTTTTTAATTAGCATTGATTTCATTAACACTAATTCTGGTAATTTCTAGCTTTTGCGGGCTTGGCGTTTTGCTGCTTTACTTTTATTTTTCAGTATAAAAAGCTCTGCAGATGCCACTGCCCTCCACATCGCTACTGCCCGACGCTTGCCAGTGGTGCAGGGAGTGACAGAACGAACGTGTGACTCACTTGGTCCCTCGTCACGTTATCCTGAGCGCTCCCACGTTCCACCGTCCCTCTCCCACTGCCCGTCCTGCTGCACTTGCTCAACGCCAAACAGCAACAGGAGAATTCAGAGCAGCTGGGAGTACGTGGTTTAAAAAAGAACAGAAAGGGGATGGGGACACACGCACACTTTTAAATTTAAGTGGTCTTGACTTCTCCACTGCCTTCATCGTTGTGATTTGCATTTCACGTTGTGAAAAACAATATTAAATAGAATTAAATAGAACATCAGTGTTTTACACCTGCTTTAAAAGGTGTAAACGACAGAAGGCACAAGGAAAGGGGAATGAAACCGTAAATTCAAGGGGACATGATATAAATGTTCTGTTAGAAGTACAGATTGAAAGCTGCGGAGGCTCTAGGGAAGCCGGTCCCGTAGCCCAGGGTCGGTTTTTGTTTGGCTCGGGTCCAGCGCTGGTCTCCTGCTCCGATCTTTGCCCAGTGCCACCTCAGTGACCCCCAGCTTAGGACACGTTTCAGCAGCTCAAACCCATCCTGCTGCAATCCCGTTCCCACGCCTTCTCCTCCTCTTCTGCCCTGGGCCAGCGCTCACACTCTCCCGCCGCTGCAACCGTCTGATCGGGGAGCTGAGAGTGCCAAAAGGCTGATCCTTAAATAAAGGATTCGCTTTCAGGTGGTGGCGTTGCCTGAACCCGTTCGTTCTGCAGTCAGACAAGCCACAGTTTTAGGTCTTACATTTATTGCAGAATTGTCCAAGCACTAAACTAGGGCTGGCATTCATCGTGCCATCCCCTACACAAACACACAGCATAAAACTGACTGTGAACCTTAACCTATGTAAAAGAAACCATAACTTTATGGATTGGGCTTGTTCTCAGTGGCCCATTTGCAAAAATCACAGAATCATCCCGGTTGGAAAAGCCCTTGAAGCTCCTCCAGCCCAACCATGACCCTCCCCCTGACCGTTCCCAACTGCCCCAGATCCCTCAGCTCTGGCTCAGCCCGACTCTTCAACCCCTCCAGGGATCCCGGGGACTCCCCCCTGCCCTGGGCAGCCCATTCCAATGCCCAACAGCCCCTTCTGCAAAGAAATATTTCTGGCCAGCAAAGGCAGGGCTGTTCCAGCAGGGTCAGGACAACAGCCCTCACTGAGTCTCCCACGAACTGCACAGTAAGGTCCACAAAAAAAAAAAAAAAAAAAAAAAAGCTAATTCTACCATACAGAGTTGCTAACCGTTCCTTCAAATGCTTATGGCCAACATCTGCATCTTTAAGTACATGTACACACAAAACCAACCGTAAATGCTGCGACCCAGTAAGGGAAAAAGTGCCTTTCCAGCCTCGTGAAACTTAAAAAGAACTGGATGAAAAAGTCTTGGGGCTTTCTGAAGGCTTTCTCCAAGAAACAAAATTGTTTTATCCTTGAAAATAAAAGTCTGGCTATACAGGCTAGACTAGGAACCAAGAAAATTAACCCTGACTGGTAGCAGGCACCGAGCTATGGGCTTGTAGGAGATGACCACCAAGGTTCATCACTGCTCACTTTTCCATCCACTATTTCAGTGCTCACTTCTTTCATCCCCACTTCTAAAAAAAATAAAGAAATGACCCTCTTGCTACTGCCACTTCACAGAAGGGACAAGGGGAGCACACAGGGACTTCCTCCCCAGGCTGAAACCCAAAGCAGAAGCCAGTTCTGAAGAACATCTCTGACCATCAGTGATGCACAAAGAGACCAGGCGGCGAGACCTGAGCTGGAGCCCATCCTCCCTCCCCTTGGGCAGGCAACAAGACCCAACTCATCACCTGTGGTTTCCACTTTCTTTCTGCATTACCATGAGCTCTCTAAAACACAATTACATAAATGTGCTTTTCTTTGTTGCTCTCATGAGTCACCTGGAAGTGAAAAACCCCTCTTCCAAGTCTCCCACGAAAGGGATTCTGGTGCTCAACCACCACCCAACCTTCCGTCACCCTGAGGCTCAATCTCCGTCACGGTGATTGAAGCCAAAACCTCTTTCCCAGATGCCAAGAAACAGGGTGAGCTGCAGTCCCATGACAGCGAGTTATCCTTTAACACATCCTGATCAGCTGGGCACGCTCACAGCCCGGCTCAGCGACATCCCTCATTGCCACCAACAGCAGAAGACAAACCATTAACAAACTTCTCACTCTGCTGCCTCTAGCCCAAGTTCCTTCAAATGAGGCAACTGCATTAAACCTCATTCACTCCCACATACAGGCCAAGATTTTAAAGAGAGCAGCTTTGTTAATCAAGCCACGGAAAAGAAAAACATTCTAATTGGTAAAAAAGCACTTTCTTTCCCCATCCCACTTCTCCCCCTCATGTGCACGCAAGCTGGGCTCGCTTGCAATCAAAAAAAAAAGGGTGAAAAGCAAATAAAGCTCAGCCTTAGAGAGGGGAGAACAACATGAAAGCAAGATGAGTGGCAGAATGGGATGGGTGGAAGTTCCCAGTTCTACATCTAAAACACCTCCAAGTGATGGTGCCATACCTAGTTTCATGAAAAAAACAACCCAAAAAAAAGGAGAGGAATATGAGTTTGAACAAGTTTTGGTTTGCCTTTCAAACAGATAAATAAGAACCTCGTTTTTCCACAACAAAAGCTCTCTT